ACAGTACGAGCTGTTTAACGAGGGGTTATTCTGAGAAATACGAGGAATCATCGTTTTAATTTTTCGATAAATAGTAATAAGTTTAATAGTTTCTTGCCCTGATGGTTTCCCATCAGGGCAAGAATTTAAAGAAAATGTTTTCCAAGTGTTACCATTTATAAATATTCATCGTAATTCAATTCCAAATTTATATATTTATTGTATTTCTTTCCTTGCTTAGTGAGAGATTGGTCGAAGATGTGGAGGATGAAGGAGTGAACAATAGAGAGAGCGTGATTCCTCCACGAAGCACCAAAGAGAACGAAGACCCGGCAGAGCACGGAGATTGCGTGCAAGATAATCCTGGCAATTCCAGGGATAGAAATACATTGAAGAAAGTCGGGTCGTTCTTTAAGAGCATGTGGAAACCCGTGAAGAGGTAAGATTTTGTACGATTTAGCCTCTGAAATTGGCAATAAATCGAGTGTGGCGCTAAGCCCAAGTATCGATTACGCCAAAAATTTTTATAGCATTAAGATTTGAGTAGGAAATGTTTGCGAATCGCATAACTTTCCCGTATTGTTCGGTGCTGTATTGGCCTATTCGTCCGTGTCATTACTGATTGGATGAAAAGTTGAATTCAAAACGTCACCGTTCAATGAATTAGTAGAAAATTTCATAATCCAACTTTCGTTCTTTGTAGGCCAACATTTACAGCCCATCGATACAGCGCCGCAATATGTTTTAATGGAATTCAAATGGAGTTATACGTTTTCCATGAATAATTATACTTCTTTTTCTACATTTAGATCCGTTCAGAAGGTGTGTAAAATGGCCAGAAGTGGAGAATGCGAGTACGTTCGGTTCGAGTAAGGATCTCTTTGCTTCCATCTGTCAAATTCGACAATAAGATCTGCTCTGTGATTTGCTGGATCTGGGCCGAGTTGGCTAATTGTAAGTGTGTATGGCAACTTTATTGTATTCTACACCAAACACTTGGGAGATTTTACGGTCTGGGTTTATAAATTGACACAATATCTAACCGCGATTTCATAATAACCCGCAATTAATGGCCGGACAACAGAAAAAATGGAAATATTTATGTACGGTATTAGCGTGGAAATGTATTATATTTTGATGCGATCGATTTCGATGCGATTACAGAAAAGCCACGTTTTTAGGGTATCGGGCATACATAGCCTGTATATTCCTGTCCAAGTACTCACAATAATACATCCTGGGTATAAGTTGCTGGTCTCTTGACACAGCGAAAGCAATGGTATAAATGAACGTAGAAATTAAATTATCCAGTAATCTTACGTGATTACGCGGACGGGAACATGTTAAAATAATGGAATTGACAATGACATATTTGATACATACATGACACGTGGCAGTATGCAATTAATTGCGGTAAGCAATATCATTTGGCACGTAACTTTATTTCCATTTTAGAAGGAAATAATATTCTTAATTTTGTTTTCATTTAAAAATATTCAAAAAATAACAAAAAGAAATGATAAAGTTTAAAAATTAATAAATAAAATCTAAAAAGCTCCTAAAAATTGCAAAAATAATTTTCAATTTATAAGTAAAAATTAAAATATTGGTTTTTCATTCACTTTTAGATATGGTTTTTTCTGCAAACCATCGATGACTTCTCCTGATTTTGACATCCCGATTGCGTCAATGCCAAGTTCGATTATGACTTCCCAATTTTGACTTTATCCCGGCTGTGTCTCCTTATTATTGTCTTTTAGTCAATTATCATTTACCCGAATTGGTCTACACGAATTTGGACTCTCGATTTATGTCTACTTCACGAATCTGGACTCTCCCGAATTACGTCTACCCCGAATTTGACTCCTCAATTGTGCCTGTACTCGAATTGGACTCTCCCGAATTATGTCAACCCCGGATTTGACTCATGAATGGTGTCTGCACTCGAATATGGACTCTCCCGAATTACGTCTATCTCGAATTTGACTTCAGAATCCTGTCTATATTGGAATTTGGACTCTTCCGGCTTGTGTCTGTGCTCAAATTTGACTCCCAATTTTTGTCATCCCTGGAACTTGGACTCTCCGGAATTGTGTTTTAATTTGTTATTGGAACGACACGCTCAACAAATTGATATTTGTTATTCAGACACTAGTAAAAGGATTAATTGCAAAACAAATTTTTTATACATAAAACGTTTGATAAATTAATTGATTATTAATATATTAATTAATAATTTTAATCTCAATTATAAATTGTTGTATATTTATATTTGTAAAACATTAATAGTAATTGTTACGGCCTAATTAAGGCATCCAAGCGATAGTCGAGAGCTCTCGCACACATTAAAATATGTGTTTGGACCTATATAAATGTTATTAAAAGTCTGTTTAAAAATGCCTCGATAAAGAATAAAACTTATGTAATTTGTAAAAACATAATGTTTGCAAAAATAAAACAGTTTCTGCAGATCTAATCTTTTTCTGTTCTTTTGTAAGCGCATTCCTTTTAAGAAAGGATAATTTTAGAGAAACAGTTAAAGTGGCAAAGGCACACTTGCCACTCCGAGGGTTTTATTTATTTATTTTTTCACTCGCTCCTCTGGGCACTAAGAGGGCCTCTTTATTTAGCAAGCCTGTTGCGGGTTAAGCCAGGCCACGTCAGGCGTTGATCAACGACGACCCATAAATACTCGAGGTTCGGGGGTGTTGCTAATACTGTTATTGTGAACTAGCAGATGTGCCCGGCGTTGCTCGGAAAAAAAGTAACGATAGCAAAGATTAAGGTTAGTAGATTATAGCCGATCTTACCCGTTTTCACCGAGTGCAACAATTAGGTTTCGATACTAAGTATAAAATTTTTAGCTATCTGCTTACCACACTGGGATAACGATAATTAAGGTTGGCAGCAACCACTAACCGCTAAGTGATTAATAACAAACGTTTTCGTAGCCCCTTCTGTGTTCTTTTTCAGGTATACTAAATTCGAAAAATATGCTGGATCTTCCCAAATGATATAAACATAAAATCGAACATTAAGACGAAGAGTTCGAATAAAGCCAACTTATGCGAATTCACTCCCCTTGTATACGATGGAACGCTAAATATCGTTGAGAATTTTTAGAAGGGTCTAAAAATATGTTCGATTTCTTGCATAAATACAAAAAAGGCATTTCAAATAGAATAGTAGAAGCCTTATTCTTCACGGTAAGCCTTAACGGTGGCGAAAAAACAAGAGTAATAAAGACAAAGGAAATCGGAAAATACCACGATACAGGGGATAAAAAGGCAAATAAAACGATAAGTCAGAAGACAAGCAGCCAGAAGTAGCAAATTTCCGGAACCCCTAGCTCTGGAAAAAACACTCGATCCAGAAAAAAAGAAATTCCGTTCGAGACAACGCGACGAAACGACCAGAAAATGTATATATGTGCAGAAGAATACAGAAAACTCTTGAAGAAAAACTTTGCGAAACAAATAACTGAGGTTTTGGATGACTCCCCAGTTGATACTTTCAGTGTCGTAACTAGCCATTCCTGTGCCCTGTGCAGGAATTTGCATTTAGGCCCCTTAATTAATTACATTTGGGAAAGTAATAAAACAAATACATGCATTTTGGGCCCCTCTTCCAAGTGGGCCCTGTGCGGGTGCACCTGTTGCATCTGCCTAGTTACGGCAGTGGTCTAGGGTCCATTCGTACGTTGGTGGTGGCGGAGGAGACAAAGATGACAAGTATTTTACAGTGAAAATCGTTTATTAGAACGGGAAGATGCTTACATACCTTGTATTTGAGGTGGTTGGAAATGGCTTTTCTACAGTATTTTCTCCTGGCACTGAGGCGTGGAGTACTGCTGATCCTACGATAGTGCAAGCTGATCAATCGTAGCCCCAGAGCGGACGATATGGGTTCGCTTGGTCACAGAAGCGATGGTAGGTGACAGAGCTGCAACGACTGGAGCGGTCCGCAAGACACAACACAAATTTTAGCGGGCACGACTTCAGGCTTAATCCAGATGAAGACGACACAGATTAAACGCCATAGAATTTTTGGGAAAACTGCGTTTTGACCTTGAGATTCGGGGTTTTTATAGTATTTCTTTCTGGAATCTCACCTTACGATTAGTCCTGCGTCCCATTCCTCGCTTTCCAATTGTTTTCTTCTTTGTCTGCAGGGGTGCATATACTTTTCGTTTTGTATAGATCGATCAGTAAAATCGGATCAATCCTTGTCACGTGATACAGATAGCTTCTGTCATGGCGGAAAGTATACGAGTAGGATCGAAGATGGCGGCAAGTTTAGGAATCATTTTAGAAATATTATCGGAATTAGATTCAGAATACGAGGAAGAAGAATTAATTTTGATTAATTATTTAACACAATATAAAAGTAAGAAAAAAAGAAATCGGTATGCAAAATAACTAACTATGTTTCAGAGGTTGCATTAGAATATAGGCCAAATGTTTTTAAAGAACACTTTCGAGTAAGTCGACTTACTTTCGAAAATTTACTGAAGGATCTTGTTCCCATTTTATTACAATCAAAAGAAATAATAATAGGAAAAGGAAGAAATGCACTGTCAGCTTAACTTCGACCATAGAAGCCGCCATCTTTAATCTCTTTTATCCCATCCAAACGATCCTACTCTCCGTTTGGATTAGTTTGATCGAGATCCAGTTGATCCTAGATGGCGTTTGTATACGCAAATAGAGATCGATCGGATCGCAGTAGTTCGTTTGTATACACGATTTGTACGATCGAAGTGATATTGGATCAGTTTGATCCCAAAAGTATATGCACCCCATATTGTTGGTATACAGTTAGTATAGTAAAGTTTTTACAGTACAGTATATAGACTAAGAGTAATACTGATTCTTCTGTTCTTTTTGAAAGAACCTTAATTAAGAATAATTAATTATGTGAAAATAAATACCTAATTTGGTTGCTGAAAGTGTTATGGTAATTTATTTCTCTATTTATTTATAACAAGATTAAACTATAAACTAGATTGAGAAATGAAACTTTTCAAAATATAATTAATTTTAAATAATAATTCACCAGAACTACGATAGAATCAAGCTATTTACTTTTGATAATATTATTTATATTTTAAATGTCAATATATATGTTTTCATTAACTTTAAAGTATAAGTTAGATAGCTGAATTCTGTCTTGAACAACAAGCGATGTTTGCTGATAAAAAACCCATTAATATTGCGAGCTAGACATACCCGTAGAATCAGCTGACTAAGGCCGTATCTAGTTACTTGATTTTAAACACGAAAGTAGTATAGATGAAGTTCACAACTTCTGTGTTTATGTTAAAGTTTTAACGAATTATTTTTATATATAATTAATTTCTTTACTGGAGAAATATGATCAATATGTACTTTTTTGCATTTATATGGGTTTTTAACGCTATTTTTACATACGGACTTAATTATGGTAAGTTTTCCAATATATGTTTTAAAATTACGTAAATAATATTAAAAATACATAATTTAATCTAAACATTTATATAAGTATGTATAAATGTTTGTATGTATGTAACTGTTAAAAATTATTTGACCTTCTGTACATTTAACTTTATTTGTCTTTCCTCATTAATTAATGTAATTATGAGATATTTTTTCTACTGACTTGAAAAATAATGGATGGATAGTGAATGTTTAGTCCTATATGTTGTTTTAAATATTTGATTTAAATTTATAGTAATAAGTTAAATATTATTATTATATCACAAAGAAATATACAATATACGTGTTATATATACATAAATATGAATCTATGAAAATAAAAATTTTGTTTTACTAATTAAATATATATAAATAATGAAACAGAATTTTTCTTTTTATAGAATCATTGCTTCTTCTTAAGATTTTAGCAAAAATGTACTTAAAATAATTCATTTTTATATAATTATAATAAATTACAAATTATCTTCGAATTTTTATTATTAGAAACGTGAAAGTCATGTAATGTATAAATTATTTTCACCTAGAGTATATAAAATATCAAGATAATCTTATAGTTTTCTTAAAAGTTATCTAAACTATTAAATCTATTAGCATCTATTTCAATAGATTAAATTTTAAGATCATTAATCCTGATTATTTGTTGATATTTATTGTTTTATATCTAAGGACAGTGATATATGACCTAAAAATATAGTATTATGTTTTTACGCAAAATTTCAATTTAAGAAAAATTTATTATATCTATAGTTTAATACAATATATTATAATTACAAAATTTAAATTTTATAATTCAATACATTAGATATATATAGAATTATTACATAGAATAAACATATTTCATGAAATAATTTTATGTGCTTTTATTTATTTATTAAATTATAATTTATTATTTAAATAGTAGAAATGAACATGGCGTTAAATAAATAAATTAAACCTAAATAGATTCAGTTCTGAATGATTACAATATTAAAACAATTACATTAATAAACTAAAATGTAAATATTTATAATGTTAATATATCTGAAATAAAATATTAAATTTAATTACAGACATAGTATTTTATACTTTTTTTTATATCTAAAATCTTTACATGTTAGAATTTTTAATATAAACAATAATTATTCATATTCACATTTTGATTTCAAATTTACAATTCAACGCCATTATCATTGATTTAAACCTCATATCAAAAAATCAGAATCAAGAGATTATGTCTTATACATTGATAATAAACTTTAAAAATGTTTATCATTTTATTTCTATCAAAAGATGAAAGATAATTAGGTCTTATTCTTTATAAAATGTCATTTTTAAAAAAGAAAATTGAATAAAGAAATATCAAGGACTTTATTTATGATATAATCAAGTTACCATATCCTTTTATTTATTAATAAAATCGTTAATATTATAAAGTAAATAAAGATTATTTAGAACCCTCATTTATTTAACTTATCCAAATTCATTAATTAGTTTAGATAAGTAAAAGTTATGTAAGTGTAGTAAGTTATATAGTCTACTAGCTTACCCGTCGCGCATTACTGCGATCTCAGAAGAAAGGAAATTCAAGCAAACTCATTATGATAAAATTCAATTTACATTTTATCATTTTAATTGAAACTTATTATTATTATTCATTTTCATCGGAAAACATTTGAAAGTGTCGTTTCAATTCTATTTATTTATTGGAGTGTTTGTGGATACACGATATTTTTTGTTTTTCCGTCTGGTGTGTACACGAATAAATCAGGTTTTCCTACGCGTGAGCCAGCCACATACAGTTGTACTCGTGAGAAGCACGGATTCTCCAAATTTAGCCCACACACACTCGCAGCGATTGTCAGAAGCACGATATTCCCCATTTTTATAAATATATTTTTTAATCATTTATAATTTTAATTATTTAATTGCTCCTTCCTCTCTACCTTGGCATGTTGTGAAATTTCTGATAGTTGGATAATAAACCGTTTTATTGTAATTTGTCTTTTTAAATTATTTTGAGTCGATATTAAAATTTGGAAAAAGGGGGATACCTATATCGGTGAAATACGCGAATTTCTTCCTACAACTTCGGTTGTTGTTCGGGGTACAGTTAAGGTTTTAACGAAGTTCGAGCGAATACATATGATAATTAGCAAAAAAAAGTTGAAATAAAGTGATTAAACAAAAATTATTACAAATATCGTAAATAACAGTTCACAAATGCATATATAGAGATATTTTTTAAAGGGGGGAAATGGTCTTCACAATTTGAAATCGATCGAACACACACTGCTCGAATGCTCGTGTAAACGCGCGCCATCTATCGTAGGATAAATGCCAGAAACCTTCGCGGGAGTGTATTAAAAAACTTCCCAAAGCTTCGTGGCAATCGTACTACGTCAGAAACCTTCACAGTAGTATATTAAACAACTTCTCAAAGTTTCACGGCAATCGGATAAACGGTGTGGTAATGCATGAAGGACACACACACACATTCATTTTTATATATATAGATTAAAAGTCTTTTATATAAAAATGTTAAGCATAATGTTAACGGAAAACATTAATATAATATAAACATTGTTAAAGTTAAAAATAATACTAAATAATCAGATTAAATTTAATTAATTGAACGAAGTTTTGGTTTTCAGAAGGTTAAATTTTAATTCCATGTCAGGGCCGAAGTTTGTACCAGTCTGGTGGGATTAGGTAACGATTTTGTGCAATTCCGTGTATCGTTTAGTATGGTACAAAGCTATGAAAAATATTAAGCAATGAAAGCTATATTTAAAGTGTTGACTTCACACTCAAAAGTTGAAAAAACTGACATTACAGTCTACTAAATTAATTAACAGTGAATGAAGTTGGAGAAACACTAACATTTTTTACAGTTATTACAGTTAACAAGTCATCATCAAGCATGGACAGATAAAAATGGGATGCCATTTAACATGAGAGTCAAATAATTTCTTTTTAAATAATATTAAGTTGAGAAAAAATGACAAAATAAACCAATATCAGCACAAATATATAAGACAGACAGCTGTCTTACATATTTGTGCTGGATATTAGTTCATTTCACTGTTTTTATAAGTATAATCAACTTAAGTATAATCAAGTTTTGAAGAGTTTTTTATATTAAGTTGAAAAAAATTTATATTAAAAATTAAATTATGTATTGAATGAATATGTGAAAAGAAAGTTTGTTTTCAAATTTCCCTCAAAATTTTTTACCATACAAATTAAATTGTACATCCAAAAACATATTATGATATATATTAAAAAATAAGAGTATGTAGTATATAAACAAATACAGTACATTAAACAATAATGGCTTTCTGAAGAAATCAACAAATATTTTCATGAAAATGTTTTTGAGATATTCTGATCTCAATTTTAAGAAAAAGTTCTTATAAGAATCCAAAGTTCATTTCATAACAGATTTAAAAAATAATAAATTTATGTGAATTTTGACAATGATTAAAAAAACATGAACATTTAGGATACCAAAAGCTTATTAACTAGTTCTAAACTACATTAGGATATAAAAATGCTTCAATAATAGACTTGATACTTGGTCTTCGTTGCACAGTTTTTAACATAAAAATTCAACTCAACTCAAGTAAAGATATAAAATTATGAAAAGTTTATTTGTTAACCTTGAAATATCTAAACAAAAAAAATGTAAGATTCTTCAAAAACATTTAAGCATCTTTTATATCATTATAGCAATAAGTTTAATATATTTACATTATAAATACTAAATAAGTTTAGAAAATAGATTGCGTTGGAATAATTGAAAGTATGAAAGAATATAATTATTGTAAATACAAAATTACAAAATTTTATTTCAAATTATAAAATATTAAAAATTTATCTATATTTAAATCATAAAATTTTTTATTCTATATATAGAAAGCATTTTTTCAAAAAATTAGTTAATCTTTTTTAATTATGAAAGTTTTTCTATTTGTTATATACACATATTATTTTTCTTCTACAGAAGATGAGGTAAACCAAGATCCAGAAATTATTGAAAGTCGAAAAAAGGCCATTAGTTGGCTTTTCTCTAAGCAAAATGAAGAAGGAGGTTGGGGAACAAAAGATAATCCTGAAACTCATAGAATTCTTACCACTCTTAGTTTATCAAATTATAATTATACACAACATAGTTTAAGCCATCATCAAGGTCTTACAAAACTGAGTTATGAACTTACTTCACTTTTAACGTAAGTTCAGTATTTGTCTATATTAAATATTACTAAAGCATTAAATTATATTAGTTCAGCATTTTGTCAAACATTTAATTTAGTTCTAAACTAAATTTTGAATTTCATTAAAAAAATGTCATAAAAGTGAAAAATATCAACATTGTAAACACAATTTAATTAATCATATATTCTATTAATTTTTATTTAATTCATGAAAACTTTATCTAGTCAGATAATAGTCAGATTTTTGAATTAAAAAAAATGTTGGTTGTATGATAGAGATTTAATTTCTTTATATATAAATTAGTTTACATACCTATATATATAAACTAATTTATGAGAGAACATTTTAGTAATTAATGTAAATAATATAAAATTAAACAAAAATTGTAAAAAAATGCATACTATATGAATAAAAATTTTCTAAAACTTTATTTTTACTTTACTGTAATAGATATCAATACTTTCATTACCCATATAATAGAGTTCAATTTTATTGATTAATATTTCATTATTTGTAAATATAAGTTATTGAAGCTTATTTATTTCCTAAATTACTGTTCAACGTTATGTATTTTTTTTAATCCTATATAAACATGTATCATTATATTTTAATTTTTACATATACTGTACAGGGTGTTAAAAAAATTAGACCAACAAAATGAAATAGGTGGTAGCGAGGTCATTGCAAGCATTTTTGGTCATATAAATGGAGGGCTGCCATAGTTCTTTACAAGATATAGACTACTGAGCTTTTTTTAGTGATTGCTGCCCTGTGATGCACAAATACAGTACAGAAGAGCCTGAAATTATTGTTAAACATTTGTTAAAGTTATGCATAGAGTGCTATTCATTCCTACTGTTCTAAAAACTACCATGAAAATTCTCTCCAAGCTGTATTATCTGCAGGGCTTTAAGCCTTGTGCAGCATAATAATGAAAGGAATGTAACAACCTGGACTGCAAAGGGATAATGGGACAAAATACATGTGAAAATGCTGGGGTTAGAGACGGTTAATCTCCACTCAACTGACACTAATGTGAGATGGGGCAGTGAGATCCCGCTCATTATAATCAGGAAGGATAATTAATTTAAAGATAAAAAGGACACTGAGAACCGTGAGATCTCTGCCTCATACGTCATGGTCCAGACACTGTTCCTAGAAACGAAAATGGAAGTAGGCTTAAGTCAATTTATAAAATGATTAATTGTATTTATTTGCACATTAATAAAGAAAAGGACTACAATTAACATAATATTCAAATAATAATATATCAAACCAATATTCAAGTAAATGAGAAAACAATGAATTGATTATTCAACCATTTAAACTTTCCTAACATAAACTACAAATATTTTTGAGAGAGCTTACAATAAAACATATATGTTACTGTTACCTGTCCTTGTAATTATGGACATGACATGATGAGAGAACCTTTTCCTTTGAGTGGGAGATCTCATATCATTTTTTCATGATGGGATGGATGCATCAAAATTTAGGCAGGAACAACAAGGAACATACAGTATTTACTTTGCTACTGACATGTTATTCTTGACAAAAAGCACAGTAAAGAGGTGATCTCTATCTTTTATATAGAATCAGTGGACTAATGAGGATTGTTTATGATTCTTTTCACACACTGTTCCTGAGGAAACTACAAAGTGTTACTTTCACTTCTAAAGAAACAATGTCACTTCTCAAATGATTCACAGGAAGTGTGAAGATGACAAGAAAGATAAACTTTCTATCTTTTTACAGCTTAATAATATTCTAAAATATTGACTAAAAATCTTTTTTAAAAGTATAAAAATGTTCTTTAACAAACTCCCAGTTCTCACATACATATTAGGACCCTATGACAAATCAAATGATTAAAGTAAAGGAAAAAATATTGTATAAGAACCCTACTTCCTTGTGACCCAGAGCAGTTTGTTTCTTTTCCCCTTCAGGATGTCCCTGTTAGTATTTGTTCATGTAGCATAGTCCAGACATAAAAATATTTGGCTTGATTACCACCTTTTTATTGTTAATTGCAGTTAATATTTGATATGCAAATAAAAGTGTTACCAATAAACAAATAACAACTAACAAACATTCTGTGCTGTGAGTCCAGTTTTCACTTTTCTGAGATGCATTTCCCTAGGTTTTGAAAACTGCTATGATCAGGAAACAACGCAGGCAATATTCCTACACTGCATGCATGTGTGCAAGGCAGCAAAGAAACTTTAAGAGCCTATATCTCATAAGGGAAACTGCATTGATCCCCAGTTAATATACCAAATTGCTTATATTGTCCTTTTCTATTATCCATTTGATTCTGTTGGTCTTCTTAACAACCTATATAATAAAATTTATTTATTAACACTTATTTTATAAGGATTGTGTTTTTTTTAAACTTATGTAAAATAAAACAGCTTTAGTCTCAACTACACTGCATTTTTATATTAAATTGATTTTGTTTTTGTTTTATTTTGTAGTATATTTTTTTCTTATTAAAATGGCAAGATGCAATTTTTTTTCTAGATGTGACACAATTTCATCAGGGCAGTTAGCATTATATATAAATTCTATATTGGCAACATGCTACAAAAGTTATGATTTTTATGATATCATAAGAAGAATGAAACACAAACCAAAGATATCTAATTATGAGAGAGGTCTTGTATCTCTATCAATTTGCATTGCTGGATATCGTGTACCTAAGGAAGATATTCAACATTATTTAAAGTTGCTTAAAAATCAAACTTCAAATATTGACAAAGGTATGTAAAGAAACTTTACAAATTACAAATTTTAAAATTTTGGTTACTTGCTTTGAAATTAGATTTTAAAACAAAAATTTACTCCATTTCTTTTATTAAATTTTTAATGTAAATTTAAAACTGATACATATTATTAATAAGCAGAGATCTAATTTATTTATGTGTAAATGATCACAAATGAAGCAATGTTTTGTATATACAGGATGGTTATAATTAAAGTTGCGCTACTCAGACCTGTCTAGAACCCGTTCTCGTGGATGTATTTTGATGAAACTTGCCATACATGTTATATGGACTGTGGGGAAAAGGAAAATGCAAAAGAATATTTAGTTCAAATTTTTACCACTAGGTGAAAAATGGCGCATGAAGAACAAGAAACACAAAATGGAAACACACAAAACATTTTTATTCACAACATTTGTTCAATGTGCAATCAATTTGCATCAATTACATGTTCAAAATGCTTTGCAATGCTGTAAGGCATTTTGAACATGTGACTGAATTTTTTGAACACGTGAATTTTTTTGCATTTTCCTTTTCCCCATGGTCCATATAACATGTATATCAAGTTTCATCAAAATACATCCATGAGAACAGGTTCTAGACTGGTTTAATTATAACCACCCTGTATATATAATCCAAAACATTGCATTATTTAAAATACTGTATTAAAATCTATGATAGAAATAAATCATAACAACTTTATCCATTTAAAGGATTTAGGCAATAACCCTTTCTTGATTTTCTTAGATTAAAATTTAAAATAGAAACATATTCAAGTAAAATATTAAGTATTTTATTGTTAAATCATGGCATTAAATATAATGACTATTTCAATGACTAGTTCTTTGAAACACTTTTTAAAATATTTTTTATATAAATTATATTGAAAATTACACATTAAATAGCAAATTCATAATGATAAATAAATTAGGCAATTTATTTATAAGAATATAGTTAGTTATAACTATTAAACTATATTCTTTCTTTTTTTTTAGATACAAAAGCAATCATTGTAATGGCTTTAATATGTGTTAAGAGAAGTCATAGTTATTATAATTTTCTTGAGCCTTATATCCAATATCAGTTACATTTATTCAAAACATTACAAAATGGCAATGATAGCAGCTTTGGAAATATTTATACTTCAGCATTAATTGTTCAGGTAAATAAATTAATATGCATGTTATACAGATGATATAACAGGTTGAGAAGGAGTTAAGAAACTACATAGTTAATATGAAAAATTTGGATAAAAAAGTCTTTATGTACAAAATTAAAAATTGTTTTAAACTTTTTCAATATAACTTTTGAAAAGATTTTATAACTAAATATTTTAAATTTAATATTGAAAATTTTGTTGTTTGTTTATATTAGAAACTTTTACAAACTTAATTCTTTTAAAATCTTATAGTGATATTTTTCTTGGAAGAAAAACATGTTGAGCAGTTATATTAAACATTTTCAGTATTCTAAAGATAAGTGACAGAGAATTCAAAATAGTATCCTATTTAACAGCCCAGAACCGATCCTGGATAGAATCATTGTAAGCGTTGTATGTGTAGCTTACACCATGAGGTTGGTGCTCTGTAAAGCTCATGCGCAAATGCCTATAATCTGGCTGTTTTTCACCGTTCAAATATTTTCGTCATGGAAGCTGTCCTGTATTCGACAATGCGGCGCTTCCGTTGGAAATATCCATATACAAATTTATATTCGAAGATACAATAGCAATCTTACTGTTTTTTTCACATGTAGTATAAAAATTTGTAATAAGATATATTCAAATATAAATACATATTATGCTATTATTTTCATATTTTAGAAAATACAAGGGAAGTGGCACTTTCACACTTTCAAGGACGGCACGCTACTTTATTTAACTGAGAAAAAACAAAATAATTAAATTACATATGAGCATAATTGAGTTACTTTATTTGAGAAAGCTATACAGAATTATAAAATTCTATAAAATTAATTACTGTACATTAAAAAATTAATATTACTGATAATTTAGTTTCTAATTTTTAATATAATTTTACAGATAATAATGTTTAATTTCATGTTCTGTATTTATTATTAATATAAAAGATAAAAATCAATTTTTGATTAATGCATTCATTATATATATCATTTTCAAAAATATCAATAAAATTTTTATTATTTACATTTTCATTAAAACTTCTCATTGCTTTGGAAAATATTTTTTGACAGTTGTTAAAATAATTTCATTTCTGATATTTTGCAGTCTCTAATTGCCTATGATGATGATAAGGATGATTGGCCTTTTCGAAATAGTCTCCAATATTTTCTATCACAACAAAAAGAAGATGGCTCTTTTGGTGATTTACTAGCCACTTATTTTGTTCTTCCTATACTTAATGGACACAGTTTGTTACATATAAAAAATATTTCATGTGAAGATTCATATGAAAAATATGAAGGTAACTTTTTTTTATAATATACAAAAAATATTTTTTATAGTATAATATTTATGGTGATACATTTAAAAAGTAATTTCTTATAATGTAAATTTTTCTATATTTTAATTTTCTATATTTTAGAGATAAGAAATTTAAATTTAATTATCATCTCATTAATTTATGTATTATGAATAATTTTATCTTGTAATCCAGTGGGTTCCATTTTCCAATAAAGTATGGTCTTGTTTTATGCAGGATTGCGTGTCAGCTGATACTGTGTAAAACAAAATTCTGTTTAAATTTGTTCTCCACTCCAAATAGTCCAAAATGATTGAAAATGGTTATATAACTATTTACAATCATTTTGGAATTTTTGGAGTGTCCATTTTGGAGTACCAATCCAAATTAAAATATGCTTTACTTATATTTTTTCTATAATGTTTTACTTATATTTTTTCTATAATGAATAACATTTTCCAATAAATTTAATAAAAATAAATTTCTGTGTATAAATATTATATAGTGATAAATAAATAAATTTATATTCAAAATTAATCTTATTTTTCAATAATATTTTATAATAATAATAATATGCATAATTATTATTAATTTAAACTTGATAATTACATATTGATATTTCTTTTATTTTAGAGTTTGAGACAAATAAGCAAAATACGTCCATTGAAGTTCGTTATTCTCTAAGTGATAGAAATATTTCGAAATTGATCGCTGTGCCTGAAAACTCCACTTTTTTAGATGTCATGAAAATTGCCCAAGAATCAGATTGTAAATACAGGTATATTTGAAAATTTCAATTTTATATTTCGATTTTTATAATTATTACAGTTCATTAAATATTATCATTATGAAAACTTTCATTGCTATCCATCGAGCGGGAATACTCAGCCATGTGGGGTATTATCATTCAATGGTTAGGCATTGGCACTCATAATTTCACTTAAAGATTTACATACAATAATAGTTACATTTATAATTATTTGGTGTTTCTATTCTGCAGTCTTTTTGTGACTACTTTTTGCATTTTTGTCTTGGTCTTAGATTTTCGCTTTCTAATGACTCTAGTTTGTGACTTTTTTGGAGTAGCTATTCAAATTTGTAAATTTTTTATTATGTTTATTTACTCAATTTTCNAGTATTATTAAGAATGAAACTGTCAACAGATATCAAATATAGAAATAGAATAACAGTAATTTACTCGGCACTGTTTTGTTGTTTGTTTTGTTTTGATATCTGAATTACTGTTCGTAAATCTTATTCAGATAGAGATTTTTTCATAATATGTATGATATTTGATTCGCTCATAATATTTTAATTATACATAAATATACGGTGTTTCAAAAATTTTTCATGTTCGCTCCATGTTTTCAAAAAATTATCTACATAACGAAGAGTGAACCATAGATTCTGAACTGAATTAAAATCAATGGGTCAATAAGTTATCGCGCTACTGTTTGTTACATTTAGTGATACAGTATATAGATTATATGAAAAACAATAGCATATACTGTAAATGGCGCATTTAAAACCTGCGAGTGGAAATGCGAGTTTATTAGCCCCCACCAGTGGGCGAGTGGTCTCCGTTGCCGCTCATCGTAGTGGTGACCAGACCCTANGGCGTAGTCATAGGTGAGTGCGTCAGTTATAAAAAGGAGTTCATAGTGTTTGCTCATTATCCCAGTTTTAAAAAAGTGGTTAAAGCATACAAAACTATATTCGGAAATATAATGAATTAATTGTTCATTGTCACTATTGTAGGTACAGTAGTTATTTTGTAAACACTATATAGATAAGTAAGATATTCCTAGCTTGTTCGTAGCATGTCATCGATGATCTCAGAAAGCTAGAAAACTGACGGAATCGATCATGTGATTCACATGTTGTCATATCGAAACGCCCGACATAACGCTACTAACATGCCGCTAACATACCGCTTTTTACATTTCAGGATCTGGTCACTTTATATGTATTATATTCCAGGAGTATTTCAGAGGTAGTATGCTGGGCCAAGTCCTTAAAAACACCTTTCAGACATATTAAACTTTTTTAAATTAATGCTTTAGTCCACGTTTTAAATATTAATACAACAAATTGATAAGATTACAACTTTTATTTTATACTTTTAGATATTTTATCAGTTTGATTGAATTTATAATTTACACATTAGTTCTACAATCTATGTACTGTACAATAGAAGTTCGTTAATCTGGGACCCGGTAATTCAGAAATGCCCGATAATTATACGGCATTCTTTTTTTTAAATCTTTGCCACGTGGGCACAAAGAGGGTATAGAAAAAAATCCATCGAATCGGGCAGTCCCACAATAGGACTAGCCAATTCGACGATGACATGGTTAAGACACAAAGATAAGATAGAAAGTTCTATCCCAACTACATAAATATGGAGTGGATGATATTTTGTTTTGATGCAATTATAAATATCAATTCCGTTTACTTGTGCTATCAGGAACTTAATTCTTAGTAGTTGTAGTGGTTGATTGCTACAGTATGTTATCGACAATAATGGGACAAACGAATTAATTTACTTACGTATGAAAAGCCANTCAATAATATTTTATAATAATAATAATATGCATAATTATTATTAATTTAAACTTGATAATTACATATTGATATTTCTTTTATTTTAGAGTTTGAGACAAATAAGCAAAATACGTCCATTGAAGTTCGTTATTCTCTAAGTGATAGAAATATTTCGAAATTGATCGCTGTGCCTGAAAACTCCACTTTTTTAGATGTCATGAAAATTGCCCAAGAATCAGATTGTAAATACAGGTATATTTGAAAATTTCAATTTTATATTTCGATTTTTATAATTATTACAGTTCATTAAATATTATCATTATGAAAACTTTCATTGCTATCCATCGACCGGGAATACTCAGCCATGTGGGGTATTATCATTCAATGGTTAGGCATTGGCACTCATAATTTCACTTAAAGATTTACATACAATAATAGTTACATTTATAATTATTTGGTGTTTCTATTCTGCAGTCTTTTTGTGACTACTTTTTGCATTTTTGTCTTGGTCTTAGATTTTCGCTTTCTAATGACTCTAGTTTGTGACTTTTTTGGAGTAGCTATTCAAATTTGTAAATTTTTTATTATGTTTATTTACTCAATTTTCACCATTTAGTAGTGTTTGAATACAAATAGATGAAATATCACTTAAAAACACTGGTTGTTGAACTTAGCTTACATGAGCATCATTACCCTTCATTGCCATATTGGATTCTGGTGCTTTTTTGATGGCCTAACAGCATATTATAAATAAAACAAAAAGCAGAAATGGGAAGCTAAATATATGCAGTTTGTACACATAATGATTAAAACTAACAATTTAAAATAAAGATGTATTTATCATATGTTAAAATTTGCAAAATTTTCGAAGATGATCACCTCAAAAACAACACACGAATGAAAGAAACTATGCTTCTGATGACAACCATCACATGACTATAGATTTATGATGACATTTGCTACCTGGCCACAACAATTACACATTGACGATTCAATTGTTTTGAGATAACTACGTGAGCAGGATTGCAATCTGAGCAGGGGAGAATTTTCTGGGCATGCTTAGCATCCGCATGCTTAAGAAAAGTTTTGACTGTCAATATACTTTTTATATGAGAACAAATATGCCAATAATAATTTATTCTAATGTGTAAACTCTTTTATCATTTGTGTTTGCTTTTACATTGACAGCTAGCGGATAGCCGTTTTAAGTCAGTGAGATGCTTGCGGGAACTCGATCGCTTATTTGTGAGGAGGTTTGCCATGGCAAACAAGTGCGCGCGCATGATATCATTCGAAGCATTTAACACAACCAGTTTGTATCAAAAGCTTCGGTACTCAGTCAGCATACATGTATTGTGTACAGGGCAGATCTACATAGAGATTAATAGGGCTTAAGCCCTAGCCCTTAGTGTCAAGGGCCCACAAAATTTGAATTATTATCATAAATTTTTAATACTTTTTCATTATAATATATTCCATATAGATATAATGGGCTTTATAATAGTCCATACCTTTTTATTCACACCAAATAACGTTTCTGCCTATTGTTTAGTGCTAGAGATAGGCCTATTATTCATATTATAACTTTCAGCATGCCCAAAAATTTTGGTCAGGTTTCGCCCCTGCCTCTGAACATCATTGCCCAACTTTTCACTATATAAATTACAAGTTTATCAGTGAGAAATTCATCTGTATAGATATTGTCCCTTATAAATTATAAGTGAATCGGGAGAAGATGTCACACTTTTTCCTTTTGATGGAAATATTAGGTGCAGTTTACTTATTTGTGTTCTTTGGATGCAATTATTAAATTTTGAAACATCCTTTAAAAGGATCTTCCAAAATTGGCACAGAACAACAAAAGATTAAGTTCATTTTTGTAATAATGAATTTTCATCTTATGTGCAAGTTAGCATCTTATCTTGACTGTCTTGGAATCATTTAAACAACCTTTTTCACTGGTTGCTGACAATCGAAAACAATTTTTAGTGCATAATAAACATGATTTATGATTATCGGTTTATTAATAACTTGTGAATGTTTTAATAATAAATTTGCAAAATCAATTATAGCTAATTAGGCTGATATTTACTTTAGATAATTTATGAATTTATTTTAAAATTCCAGATTTTATTTTTTAAATTTAGTTTTCAAGTTGTTTAAAGATGTCTAATGGAGTCAGTTGTTAAATGACTCCATTAGACATCTTATAAATTCATAATTTGAATTTTGTAAACATTACGTACATAGCAGATTTAAATTTAAATAAAAATTTTTGTTTTGTAATGAAATTGCAAAATTTATCTGTGTAGATATTGTCATTCAAAAACAGGGTACTTCAAAATATCTGATAGAAAGACATCATTAATTACTTAATTATTTTTTAGTTTGTGATAATAAAAGAAAGAAAATTATAATTTTCTATGAAAATTGAATTTCTCTTTATTCTAAATACTGAATCTAAATACATAAAATTACTTGTCCTGACTGAATGAATGAATGACTAACTGACTGGCTGAATGATTCATCATCGCTCAGAGCAAACCGCTGAACCTAAAGAGGTGAAATTTGGTACACAGTTAGGGTACGTCATGAAAACGTACTACACTAAGAAGGGATTATTCGAAATTTTCAAGCGGGGGGGAGAGGGAGAGAATTAAGGCTTAACCGGAAGAACGGCTTTTACTGTACTGTTTTAGATATGATTTTTGGCTTTTATCTGCGTTTTAGTAGGGTATGCCATGAAAACGTACACTAAGAAGGGATTTTTAGAAATTCCCCGCGGGGGGAATTAAGGCTTAACCGGAAGACTGGCTTTTACTGTACTATTTTAGATGCAATTTTTTGTTTTTATCTTCGTTTTAGTAGGGTACGTCATGAAAACGTACACTAAGAAGGGATTATTCGAAATTTTCAAGCGGGGGAGAGGGAGAGAATTAAGGCTTAACCGGAAGAACGGCTTCTACTGCACTATTTGAGATGCGATATTTTGT